GCCCCAGCATCGTCATCGCCCTGGCCGGCAACAAAGCCGACCTGGCCAGCAAGCGCATGGTGGAGTACGAGGTGAGCGCCGCTCCCGGGCGCTTTGGGGTCGGGAGGGTCGGGACGGGGTCGGGGCGGGGCCGGTCCTGCCCGCGGCCGCCGAGCCCTCAGCCCGGTGCCGGTGTCGGTTCCAGGAGGCGCAGGCCTACGCAGATGACAACAGCCTCCTGTTCATGGAGACGTCGGCCAAGACGGCGATGAACGTCAACGACCTCTTCCTGGCCATCGGTGAGGCTGGGGGGGGGCTGGGGGGGGGCCCAGCCGGGCTGGTGGGCAGAGTCCCTGGGGGGCAGCTCCCGGCAGGGCCGGTGAGCGCAGAGGGGGCTCGGGGGGGGGGGGGTTTCCCCCCCGGGAAGCACGGAGACAGCCGGGATCTGCCGTGGGGGTGCTGAGCACCTCCTGACGCCCCCCCCCGCCTGTCTGCCTCCCCCCCCCAGCCAAGAAGCTGCCAAAGAGCGAGCCCCAGAGCACGAGCGGCGCGGCGGGGAGGAGCAGAGGCGTGGACCTCCACGAGCAGAGCCAGCAGAACAAGAGCCAGTGCTGTAGCAACTGAAGGGCGGCCGGCGGCAGCGCGGGCGAGGAAGAGCGAAGCCGTTAACGTGTCCCCCCCCCCGCCCCCCCCCCCCCAAGTCCTCCACACCCCCTCCGTTCCGGCACACTGAGACCCTGGGCAGCAGCCCCCCCCCCCCCCCCCCAGCTCCGTCTAACTGCACTTTTTAACGCTTCAGAGCCGCCGCCGGAGCCCCCGTTCCCCCCCCCCCATGGCCTGGAACCAGACCCGCCGGGGACTGAACGTCCAGCACCGAACTCTTCTTCACTTTGTATCATAGGTGCAGAGAGCGACCCCGACTCCCCTCCCGTCCCCCCCCCTGCGCCCCCCCCTCCCTCCCACCTCCCCTTTTGCTTTGGGAAATCCTGCTCGGTCCCTTGGGGACGCCAGGAGGCGGCCGCGGCGCCCTCAGACGTCGGCTTGGCGGTGAGGGGGGGTCCGGAGCAGCCCCCGCAGAGCGGCATTCCCGAGGGGGCTGCCGTGGGGTAATTTTTATTTTTATTTTCTTTTTTTTTTTCCCCCCTCTCTTCCCTCCTTTTTCTTCTGTTTCGCTGCTCATTGGGGGGGTGTGGGGGGGAGCTGCAGTGCCCTTACCTTCTTCCTCGGTGGCCTTTCTTTGCTGGAGGATCGGAAGTGCCTGGGAACCTGTCACAGGGGGAGGGGGGACGCGGGGAGCCTGCGGGGACCCCGAGCTCACCCCCCCGCACCCCCCGGTGGAGCCGTGCCCGTCCCCGCCACCCCCTCAGCGTCCCCCCGGTGATCCCGGCACGGCGGGGGGCTTTGGCACCCCGCGCTTTGCCCGTCCCCACCCGGTTGCACGGCCTCCCCCGGCCCCGGTTCCTTTCCTCCCATTCCCGGGGATTTTTCCCGGGGGGGGGGTGACCCCGTGGCCGCCCCCGGTTGCGTGCGGCACCCTTGGGCTGGGGCCAGGCGCCCGCGGCCCCGTGGCCGTTGCCCTTTGCCTTGGCTCCCAGCCCAAGCTGGCAGCGGGGGCACCCGGGACTTGGGGGGGGGCATCCCCCAGACCCCCCCAGCACCCCCCGAGCCCCCCACCCCCTCTCACCCCCCTGCACCCCCTTGTCCACCTCCCCCCCCGGCACCCCCAGGCTCCCCCCCCGGGCTGGCAGCGGGTCCCGGGGATCCCCGGGCTCGAGCCCCCCCCCCCCCAAACCGGGCGCCCCCAGCCCCCCCGGGGTCGCTGCAGCTCCCCAGGGCCTCCCTCTCCCCCCCCCCCCCCCTTCCCCTTTTTCTCCTCGCGTCTCCGGTTCGGTTCCTGCCGTGCCCCGGGGAGGGGGGGGGGGGGTTGGGGGGGGGTAGCGCCGCCCCGGTGGCACCTCCCGAGCGCGGTCCCGGCCGCGGCTGCTGGCTTCGCGGTGTATTTAATGTAAGTAAAGGACAAAACCCACAAAAAAAAAACAAAAAAAACAAAAAAAAGGAAGAAAACCACCCAAAACGCTCCGTCTGCTGCCTGGGGGGGGGGGGCGGGGCGGGGGTGGGGCAGGGGAGGGGAGGGGGGTGCGGGGCGGGGTCCCGGTACCGGAGCTGTTGGAACCGGGCCCGGCTCCGCATCCGGCAGCGCCCCGATAGCGCTTATCGGGGGCACCGGGCGCGCCCCGCCCCGCCCGGTGCCGCGGCCCCTTTAAGGCGCGGCCCCCCCCGCGCTGTTTGGGGGGGGGGAGGGGGTGGGGGGGGGCGAGGCCCCGCCCCTCGCCCCTCTCTTAAAGCCGCAGAGCGCCCCGAGAGCCCCGGTGACGACGCAGGTGCGGGGAGGGGGGGGAGGAACCGGGACCGGGAGTAGGGGGGGGTTGGGGGGTCGGGGGGGGTCGCCCGCACGGTCCCGGCCCCGGGGGCTCCCGGTGGCCGCGGAGCCGCTCTCACCGCGCCGCTCTCCCCGCTCAGGTCCCGCCGCGATGCTGCTGCTCCGCGCCGTTACCGGGCGCAGGTAGGAACCGGGCTGGGGGTCCCGGTGCCGCCCCCCCCCCAACCTCCCGGGGGTCCCGGGCCGCCCTCAGCGCCGCTTTTCCCCCTCCCCCCCCGCAGGCTCCGCTGCCGCTGCCCCGCCGCGCCTGGTCCCGGACGGGCGCCGCCCGCTTCGCCGCCGGTAGCCCCGGCCCGGGGGGCACCGGGAGGGCGGCCCCGGTGCTGGCGGCGCTGCTGGGGCTCGGCGCCGTCCTGGCCTACGGAGACCGGAGGCGGAGGGTGAGGAACGGGGAGGGGGAGAACGGGACCGGGGGAGGGACGGGAGGAAGAGAGGGGGGGGGCGGGAGGGAACCGGGCTCTCCTCGGTGCCTGGGCTGCCGGGACGGGGGGTACCGGGGGTACCGGGGGTCCTGGGGGTACCGGGGGGCGCCGAGCTCCCGCTGATGGAGCCGGGGTCCCCCAGACCGCCCAGGCTGCCCAAGCCCCCCGGTACCCCCGGTACACGCGGGAGGAGGTGGGGCGGCACCGCTCGCCCCAGGACCGTGTCTGGGTGACCCACGGCACCGACGTGTTCGACGTCACCGACTTCGTGGAGCTGCACCCGGGGGGCGCCGACAAAATCCTGCTGGCGGCCGGGGGGGCCCTGGAGCCCTTCTGGGCCCTCTACGCCGTCCACAGCCAGCCCCACGTCCTGGAGCTGCTGCGCGAGTACAAGGTGGGCGAGCTCAGCCCCGAGGAGGCGCCGCCGGCCGCCGCCGCCACCGGAGACCCCTTCGCCGGGGACCCCCCCCGCACCCCGGGCTGCGCGTCAACAGCCAGAAGCCGTTCAACGCCGAGCCGCCGGCGGAGCTGCTGGCCGAGCGCTTCCTGACGCCCAACGAGCTCTTCTTCACCCGAACCACCTGCCGGTACCGGCGGTGGACCCCGGCTCCTACCGGCTGCGGGTGGAGGGCCCGGGGGGCCGGGCGCTGTCGCTGTCGCTGCCGGAGCTGCGCAGCCGCTTCCCCAAGCACGAGGTGACGGCCACGCTGCAGTGCGCCGGGAACCGCCGGGCCGAGATGAGCCAGGTCCGGCCCGTCAAGGGGCTGCCGTGGGACATCGGGGCCATCAGCACGGCCCGCTGGGGGGGCGCGCGGCTGCGCGACGTCCTGCTGCACGCCGGCTTCGAGGAGCAGCGGGAGGGCGAGTGGCACGTCTGCTTCGAGGGGCTGGACGCCGACGCCGGGGGGCTCCCCTACGGCGCCTCCATCCCCTACGGCCGCGCCGTCAGCCCGGCCGCCGACGTGCTGCTGGCCTACGAGATGAACGGCGAGGAGCTGCCCCGCGACCACGGCTTCCCCGTGCGCGTGGTGGTGCCCGGCGTGGTGGGCGCCCGCAGCGTCAAGTGGCTGCGGCGGTGGCCGTGAGCCCGGCCGAGAGCCCCAGCCACTGGCAGCAGAACGACTACAAGGGCTTCTCCCCCTGCGTGGACTGGGACACGGTGGACTACAAGACGGCGCCCGCCATCCAGGAGCTGCCGGTGCAGTCGGCCATCACCCACCCGCGCCCCGGGGCGGCGGTGCCGGCGGGGAGCTGACGGTGAAGGGCTACGCCTGGAGCGGCGGCGGGCGGCCGGTGGTGCGGGTGGACGTCTCGCTGGACGGGGGGCGCACCTGGCGGGTGGCGCGGCTGGCGGGCGAGCGGCCCCCCCCGGAGCGGGCCTGGGCCTGGGTGCTGTGGGAGCTGCGGGCGCCGGTGGCGGCGGGCGCGGAGCTGGAGATCGTCTGCAAGGCGGTGGACGGCAGCTACAACGTGCAGCCCGACAGCCACGCGCCCATCTGGAACCTGCGCGGGGTCCTCAGCAACGCCTGGCACCGCGTCCGCGTCTCCGTCCGCGACTGAGGGGGGCCACGGCCCTAGCCGCCGGCCCCGCTCGCGTGCGCGGCCCCGCCGCCGGCGGCTCGAAGGTCGGCCCCTTTACGGCCCCCGACGTGTGAAAGTGGCTCCATAAAAAGATTGCGCAGCTTTTATGGACTCGCTGCTGCTTCCCGGGGCAGGCCGGGGCAGCGCCGCCGTAACGGGGCCGGGGATGGCCTCAGGGGACCCCGGCAGCCCCCCCGTAGCCCCCAGCCCCCTGTTTCTCTGCCCCAATAGCCCAGGACCCCCGCCTCGCCCCCCCCACTGTCCCCTTGCCCCCCCCAGAGCCCTTTGGGACCCCAGGTCCTGCCAAGGCCCCAGAGCCCCCCAAGGACCCCCCAGGCTCCCTGCCCCCCCCAACTGCCTGTAAGCCCCCCCTGGGCTTCACAGCCTCCCCTTGTGAAGCCCCCCCAGGTCCCAGTGGATCCCTTCTTGGTCCCCATGGACCCTCCGGTCCTTGTGGAGCCCCCCCAGTCGCTGTGGACCCCCCCCATATCCCAGTGCCCCCCCTTCCCCCTCCGGTCCGGGGGCTCCTTCTGTCCAGCCCCATGGCCTGACCCCCCCAGTCCCCGTGGACCCCCCCCAATCCCAGTCCCCCCCCTCCCCCCAGTCCCGGGGGCTCCTTCCCGGTCCCCGTAGCCCCCCCCCAGCCCCGTGAACCCCCCCCGGTCCCCATGGCCCCCCCATTCCCTGTCCGCTCCCCCCTTCCCCCTTTCCCGCAGCTCCCGGGTGTTCCCTCAGCGTGCCCACCTCGGGGAGGGCGTGGGGGGGTCCCGGTAGTCCCGTTACCCCCCCGCTACCCCCCCGTTACCCCCCCGTTCCCCCCCCGCCGCTCCCCCCTCCCCACCCTCCTCACCCATCGATGCTCGGTGCCGCTCGGCGATCGATTCCCCCCCTGCCCCCCCTCACCAATCGATGCGCTCGGCGCTCGGCTGAGCCCCCCCGCTGCCGGCCCCGCTCCGGCCGCCCCCCGCCCCCCCCCCCCTCACTCCACCGCCCCCCCCCCTCACCCCCCCCCCTCTCCCCCCCAGCCCCCCCCGGCCGCTCGGCGCTCGGCTGCGCGGCCTGGCTGCGCGCGGGGGCCGGAAGTGGCTCGGGGCCGCCGGGGGGGCCCGGGCCCTCCTCAGGTGAAGCCGCCGCCGATGGAGCCGCCGCCGCCACCGGGCCGCTGAGCCCCCCCCCCCCCCGTAACCTCCCCCCCCCCTTCCCGTCCTCCCTTCCCCCCGTCCCCGCTGCTGCTGCTGCTGCTGAGCCCCCCCCCGTCGCGCACGGGCCGGGGGGGGCCGCCCCGAGCCCTGCCGGTGAGGAGGGGGGGGGGAACCGGGGGGGGATGGGGGGGGGGACCGGGGGAAGGGGAGGGGGCACCGGGGGGGTTGGGGGGGGAGGGGAGGGGGGGGGGGGGACTGGGGAAGAGGGGAGGGCTCCGGGGGGGTCCCGGCACCGGGGGGGGTCCCGGTCCCGGTCCCGGTCCCAGTCGTGAGGCTCAAGGAAACGCAGGGCGGGGGGGTAGGGGGGGTTTGGGGAGGTTTGGGGGGGGTCGCCCTCCTCCCCGAGCCCTCCGGTGCCGTTTTCCCGGGATGGGGCCGGGGGGGGCACCCGGGGGTGCAGCCGCCGGTACCGGGGCTCACGGGGGGGCTGCGGGCACCGGGGCTCCCTCCTCCTCCTCCTCCTCCTCTCTCCTCATCTTCAGCCTCGTCCCGTCCCGGGCGGGGGGGCCACCCGTGAACAATGAGCAGCCCCCGGCCCGGGGTGGGGGCCCCCGGCTGCTGCGGGGGCTTGGGGAGCGCTCCCGGAGTCGGTTGGGGTTGGGGTGGTTTGGGGCTGGGGTCGGGGCGGGATCTCCCCCCGTTCCTTTCCCCCATCCCCGTGCAGCCTTCGGGAGCCGCTCCCCCCCCCACCCTTCCCCGCCCCCCCGGCCTCGTAGCGGTTTTTTGGAGCACCGGGCGCGTGGGGAGCGGTTTTGTAACGGGACGGCGGGGCCGAGCAGCACACCCGGGTGTGGCCCCCCCGGTGCCGGGCAGAGCCCCCCCGGCTGCCCCACGGCCCCATCCCGGTCCCTTCAGGGGGTTGTGCCGCGGGGTCCCTCCGTGGTTCGCTTCCCAATTGCCCCGAGCGCGCTCCCGCCGGGGTTGCGGTGCCCTCGTCCTCCCGTGTGGCTCCCCCCGAGCCCCGGGGTGCTCTCTGGGTGCTCCCCGGGTGCTCCCCGACTTCGTTCCGTGCCTCGACGCCTCCCGCAGTGCGAGTTCCCGACCTGTCCCGCTTGTGCCCATCCTTCTGCCGCATCCGTTCTGCTGCTGGGTTTTGCCCCCCTCATTTGGCTCACGGAGACCCCGGCCCCGGTGCTTGTTCCCCGCTCGCAGCTGCGGGATCAGCTCCCGGGGCAGCGACGTGCGCCCGTGTCCCGCGGGGCCCTGCGGGGCTCCGTGTGCGCCTCGGCTCCCCCGGCCACGGGGCAGGGCCAGCACCGGGCTGAAAAGAACTTCAGAGACCCCACGGAGGCATCAGGAGGAGATGGGGCACGGGGCACAGCACCAAGAGGACGCCTCCCCTCCTGCCCCTGGCGGGTCGGTGCCGTGTAACCGTCGTTGAGCTCCCCCCGTGCTGCGGGGCCGTGGAACCGCGGCGCTCAGACACGCAGCTCCTGCTGGTGGAGGTCGGCGCCTCCCTCCCGGGGTCTGCAGGAAGGATTCTGCCCGCCGGCCGCAGCAGGTGCTGCAGAAGGAACTTTTTTCTCCCCCTTTTTGCTGCCGGGGGAGTCGGAGGCAGCGCGGCTCGCCCTTTCATCTCTCGCAGGCTCGGCCGAGCTGGTGGTGGCGGTTATTTATGCGCGTTGCGGTGGTGCCTGGAGGGCACGACACGGATTGAGATGCTGAACAAAGACGTGGTAAAAGCTGGCCCGGGGTTGGCTCCGAATTCAAACTTCGTCGGAGTGGCTGGGCCCCAGAAACGTGTTTAAGCCCAGCGATTCCTCACCGTGCTGCTCCACGCTGCTCTTCCCATCAAACCAAATCGTGTCGGTGGCCGGGCGCGCTGCGCGTCCCGTCCCGTTGGCCTCAGGAGCGCTTCCAGCGCGGGAGGAACTTCTCCTGTGTGGCAAAAATTAGAAAAAAAGTAAATAAAAAAGGAGCATCTTTGAGTGGGGATGTGCGTGGTGCGCGCTGCTGGCCCTCGTTTTGATCGTGGATCCGAGGTTTGGATCCTCAGAGGGGATTTTTCCTCTCCCTCCGGTTTTAGCAGGCGCTGGTCTCACCTAGGGCAGGAATCGCCGCCGCGCTGCTCGGCTCCTGCTCTGATCCCCCCATCGGGGTGCCATGGGGGCAGAGCGGTGTGGGTGGTTTGGTTTTGGGGTCCGTGAAGTTTTCCTTCCCGTCCCTAAAGCATCACCCAGACGTTCCCGGTGCCGGGCGGTGTTGCTTCGTGCCGGTGTAAACGCCCGAGGGGACTCGGGGTCTCGCCCCAACCAACCTCAGGAGGCTGCTGGCAGCCGCCCTTCCAGGCAGAGGAACGCGTGAAATCCGTAGGGTTTTTTTTTTCAGCAGTGACACTTCATCTTCCCGAATGATAAATTCCAAAACACGGAAACAATGGGAGCTGCTTCCTAATGGATAAACCACGCCGCAGAGCCCCGCTCCCGGCCGGTTTGCTGCTGGCCGCCGAGCACGGGGCCGCCGCCGCCACCGGGGCTCTGCCACCGCCCGGCCGCTGGGCTTTGAAGCCTCTCCAACGACACCAACTTTTCTCTCTTTTTTTTTTTTTTTAAAGTTTTTTTTTTTGAGCAGCCCGCTCAGTTCGGCGCGCTTCTGCTTGCAGCGAAGGTGGAAAAAAAGCCCTCATGTTGGAAAATCGGCCGCCGCTGGTGGAAACAAGGCTTTGGGAGAAGAAACGGCGGGGACCTTTACCGTGCTTACTCATCCTGACCCCGAGGGAAGGCTTTGAGGTGCTCGCCCTGCGCCTTCCTCCTCCTCCTCCTCCTCGCCGTGGGTGCCGGGACGTTACCGGGGCCGAGCCCTGGGCCCCTCAGCGCGGCTCCAGGCAGGGTTTGTGTTGGCCCCGCTGCTCGGGTGCTGATCCCAGTGCTCAGGGCTCGTCCTGGGTGTTCGGAGGTGGCTCAAGGGAGGACTCGAAGGGTGGCAGCGGGCTCTGCCTGGCTCCCCTGGGGGGCTCCGAGGGTCTCCCGCAGCACCGGGTGCTGGCACGGTGAGCAGAGCCCCGGTGCTTCCACTGCTGTTGGCACTTTCCCTCTCTGCGAGCACGAGGGGTGTTTGCAAATTGCTTTGTGAGGAGACGGAGGGTGGTTTTATTTTAAACTGGGCTAGTTCTGAGGATTTGATTTCATTTTTTTTTTCCTTGAGCGTGGCCACTTGGGGAAAAGTCCCTGTTTCGGCAGGGAGGAGGGCGCCGAGCTGCTCCAGTTCCTGGAGAAGTCTGCGGGCAGCGCGGCTTCGTCCCCAGCTTTCCACCCGGGTGGGGTTTGGGGTCCCCCCCTGGCTTCCCAGCCCTCCTGGGGCGCTTTTCCAAGCGGGAAGGTGCCCGGAGCAACGGGCACGGGGCCGTTCGCCGGCCGTAACCTTCATGGGACCGCTCGTGTGGGTAGGGAGCAGGAGTTGCAGAACCTGCTCCTTAACTCGGTTGCGTTCGGCTGATTATCAGCTGATTACTCGGAGGGAAATTAATTTCTCAGACCAACTCCTCGCTGCCCAGGTCCCCAGGGCTGCCCCCTGGCAGGAAGAGGGGGCTCGGGGGCGACGCGGCGCGGTCCCCTGCATCCTGCAAACCTCCGCCGAGGCTCATCCTCAGGGTGGTCGCTGGGCACCAGGTCCTGCTTTTTAATTTAGTGCGTTCTGGCTGCGGAACAGAAGAGAGCAAGGGCTTTGTAAATCAAATTGATTTTTGTTATCACGTTGCCTGCCCTTTGTGCAAAGCAGACGGATCTCTGAGCGTGTGCCTAGCTGCAGAGGAGCAGAATTACGGGGTCGGCAGAGAGAAAACTGCAGGATGCACCTGAAACCACAGCCACCGAGCAGCTCGGGGGGGAGATCCCACCTGGAGCGACCTCGCCGAGGGGTCGGAAGCGGAGCTCTGAAGCCCTGAGCGGGGCCGGTGCCATGGAGCCGCCGCGCTGGGTGCTGCCGGGACGGGCACAGGGCAGCATGGCAAGAGCCTCTTATTCCTAATTAACGCAGGGCAAGCAGCCAGGCCCGGGGTTAATTAGTCGAGGCTGGTGCGAGAAGCAGTCGTGGTTAAAATTCGGCTTTTAGGGGGCTCCATCCGAGAGGGGCGACTGATTCCCTCCTGCTTGGAGGAGGCACCGAGCTCTCCAGGCAAGGCTCTGCGCCCTTACCGGCCCTCTGTGGGGGCTGAGGAGTTCGCACTGCTCCTCTCCTCGAGTTGCCGTTATTCCCCTTTTTTGGGGGACGATTCCTCTCCGCCAATTACCGCGTTTTTTAATTGTTCTCGGCAGCGAACGCTCCGCTTCGGGACGCGTCAGCTGCCAGTTACCGCGAGCGCTCACTGGCGAGGCTCGTGTTCTTAAAACTGCGCCCGTTGTGTTGTTTAAGCAGCCGAGGTAATTGAGGAACACGAGCCGTCTGGATGTATAAAACCTTCATTATCTCCGTGGGGTGCCGAGCAACAAAACACGAGGCAGATTTCCCTTTTATTTTAGCGTGGCCTTCGGAGGGGCTGTGGGTGCCGCTCAGCGGAGCGCCGTGTGTGGCCGTGCAGCCTCGCTGCCCCCAACCTTGCTGCTCTCGGTGACAAAATGAAGCCAAATGCTCGGCCATCCCCACGTCCAAGGCTTCACCTCCCTGCTGCAGGCAGCCGGGTGCCCAGTGGCTGCTCCCCACGGGCGAGGGAGAAGCGAGTTGTCCGAGCAAACTGCCCCGTGGCTGTTTGTCCGTCTGGCCGGGCGCGTGTCGCACGGGTTTGGCTCGGAGCGAGCCCTGTCGGGGCTGGTGAGAGGTCAGAGGGGTGGTGGTGACGTCCCGGTGGTGAAGCTTTGTTGGAGGAGCTTGGGGAGAGTGAGGTGGCTGCTGCGAGAGGCCACTCGGTGGGAGGAAGAGCACCCGAGGCACCTCCGGAGGCAAGCTCTGACTCAGCTCTGCTTTCTCTTTCAGCAAAGTACCTTAAGGATGGATATAGAAGACTGTAATGGCCGATCCTACATATCTGGTACGTCTGATCGTGGCATTTGCCACTTCTTTGGGCTTGCTCATGTTTTAAGGCGCTGGGTTTTGCCCTCTGGCTGTAAGCTGGCCTGGTTGATTCACCCCAGGCTGTGAAGAGCCGTGGCCGGTGCGTGCCGTTGGGTGTCCGGGCCGTGCCGGTGCCCGTGGTGTAACAAACGGCCGGCTGCAGAGTCGTGGCTGGCCAGCCCTCGTGCTGAACGTGTGCCCGTCTGTCTGTCTGTCTGCTGTTGGGGCGCTGTCGCTGAGCAGGCACGAGGCTGGAGGTGAGATTCAAGCTGGGCTGGAAGGAAATTTCCAGGGCTGAGGGCACAATCCTGGGGCCAGGGCATTGGGGGGCTTTGTCCCCTTCCCAACACTCCTGTACGGTCGCACTGCGCCCAGCTCAGGAGCGGGCGGGGGTCTTGAGTGTCTCAGGTGGTCTCAGCTGTGCCTTGCCTAGGAAAACGAAAGCTGTTTTGGTAAGGTTCAGAGGGGCTTTTTGGGGTTTGGGGGGGCTTTTTAGGGTTTGGTGCCCCGGGAGGACTGCTGCTTGCAGCGTGCCATCCCCTCGGTGTGCCGGGCTGTGCTGGGACGTGTGGGGTCAGCGTGCAGCCCGGTGCGGGTCCAGAAGTCGTGCAGCCAGCAGCAGCCCGCGGGTCCCTGAGAGGCAGGAGGACGCGGGGATGGATCGCTCGGTGAGGATAGAGGTGAGGAGCTGAGGAGCATTACGAGGGAGGGAGAACCCCGGCTGCTCTAAGGAGCGGCGGCTGAGCCTTAACAGAGCCGCGCGGGGACCTTGCACAACGCCCGGCTGCACAAATCCCCTCGGGTCCTGCCCGTCCCACAGTTCCCCCTCGCCTTTCTGTGAAGACTTCCCCCGGTCCCCGGAGGATCCGTGCTCGGGTTTGGCGCTTGGCTCTCCTCAGAGCTGCTCCTGCTGCCGTTCACTGGGGCTTTTGGTCTCTGGGATGCCTCCGTTAAGTTAGGAAATGCTTCCCCTGCTGTGCCGGGGGGCTGCCGGGCTCGCTTGGCTCTGATCTCTGCTGAGCAGAGCCACGTCCCCCTGGCGCTTGCTCGGGGCTCGGATGCGCTCCGTGAGCTCGGCACCGTGCTGCTGGCAGAGCTCCGGCTTTGCTTTTCCCTCGGGAGCTTCGTGGGCGAGCTGCCCCCTTCCCTGCGCTCCTGGCAGCCCAGAAAGGAGGCGGCAGGAGAAGCTTTTCTGGACAGAACCTCCGGGGCTGGAAGTGCTGGGGTTTGAGTTCTGAGCGGCTCGTGGGGCTTGGAGGGGATGGGACCGGTTGCAGGATGGGTGAAAGGTGGGGAGAAGAGCCCCGTGGGTTGTCCCCACCAGAGTTAGATCTTTCTTTTTTTTCCCCAACAGCCCTCGTTCACCTGGCCCAAAAGCAGGGTGCCCCCGGGCCCAGCCTGGGGTGGTCCTGGTGATGATCAGCCGCTCGTTAGGGCCAGGGTCGGGGGCTGCTAATTAGCCGCTTTTTCAGTTGCTGAGCTGTGGGGCTGCAATGACTGGAGGAAACGAACAGCAGAGCTCTCGAAACTTGTTTCTGCGAAATACGTTTAATTAAGCGAGCTCTCTTTAAAAAAATAAAAAATAAAAGTTGACGTTTGTCAAGTAGCGAGGTAACCGAAAGCCCGGAAATTCTTAAAGAAGGTGAAATCGGGTTTGTGTTTTTTTTTTTTTTTTTTTTTTTTTCTCCTGCTTCGAATCCTTCACAGAAAATAACCCCGTTGTGAGAGGGCTCTGGTGGAGGCAGAGGTGTTATGCAGAGGTGGGCGAGAGCCCCCCCGTGTGCCGCTGCCCCTCGCCCTCCCGGCACCGCCGCGTGTCCCCGGTGCCTGAGAACAGGGCCGAGCGCTCGAAGCTCCTCGGAGAACCGGGCTGCAGGCGGGCGGCCGGGCAGCCAGCCCACCTCACACACCACGTGCAGCCTTCCCCTTCTTCTTGGAGCAAAGGGGACGCGGCCCCGGCGTTTCTGGAGCCTGAGAGGTCGTCGGAGAGGGGAATTGGTGCTGAACGCAGGCACCGCAGTCACAGCTCTCCTGTGGGAGCCTCCCCGTGATCGGGGTCCCGGTGCCAAACCCCGGGAGAGCCCCGTCCCCTGCTGTGGGGTCAGCACCCCCAAAACCTGTGCTTTAATTGCTGCCCATGGGGCAGGATGCGGCCGGTTTTCTGCCACAGGGCGAGGAGGTTCCTGGCCCCACGGCACAGTTTTGGCACCGGGGGGGCTGTCAGCAGGATGAGGGGCGTCCTGGTGGGCTCAGCCCTGGTTTTGGGGAGGGCTGAGCGCTGCGATCGGCTCGGTTGTCCCCTGGTGCTGCCCTTCAGGAGCCGCTTTGGGATCTGGAGGAGGGAGCTGGGTGAAAGCGGAGCTCGGAGCAGGGAGCTGCGCATCCCACGAGGCTCAGGGGCAAATCCTCACCCCATTTCTGGGGCTGGGGACCCCACCTCGGCACCCCCACCGACACAGGGGGGTCAGAGCCCAAACAGCAGGAGGCTGCGGAGCCTGGCATTGGGGGCGGCGCCTCTCTGTGGGCACCGGGGCCCCTCTGGGTGACATTTGGGGTCCTGAGCCCGAGCGGTGCAGCCTGGCTTCCCGCTCGCCGTGCCGCCTGCCTGTAAAGCCCCGGCCGCGTCCCTGGCTTCCAGGAATCGGCTCTTCCTGGAAGGTGAGCGGCCGCGTCCTCCCTGCCAGGGAGGCGCCGACATGCACGCGCGGCCGCCTGCTGTTTCCAAGGAGTTGGCTGCGGTAACGCTCGGGGGCTCTCCGGCGAGGTGGAATAACGCGAGTGGAACGGGAGCAGGGGAAGGATCCCGGCCTAACCCGGCGCTGATTCCGCTCGCTCTTGGTGTAGGCAGCGGGGAAGGGGCGCAGGGGTGGGCGCTGGGTGCCCGTGGGGGTCTCGAGTCTCTTCTGCAGGCAGGGAGAGAGGGAAGGGGAGCGCCCGAGCCCCCCTGGAGGCATCTGGTGAGGTGTGCTCGGGGCGCAGCTCCCGATGTGCGGCACCGAGACCCCTCCGAGAGGCTCGGTCCCCACCCGGAGCAGCTGCTGGGGGATCGGGGGCTGCAGGACGTGCCCCCGTTCCCCTGCGACCAGTACGGGGCCGTTCTCAGCAGGGCTCCTTGTTCAGCGGTCTCCTAACCTCGTTTCACCCCCCTTTGCGGTGCTCGTGGCTCGGACCGGCCGGCAGCAGCTCGCCAGCCCCGCTCGAAGCCACCACGACCCCGGGAGGAGGGAAAATGTCCCCAAAGGGTGCCCCGGGGGAGAAAACGTCCCCAAAGGGTGCCCTGGGCTCTGCAAAGGGGCACGGTGTCTGCCTGCCCGAGGGCATTTGCCCCCTGCTGCTCCCCGTGCCCCACGGCCCCGCAATCACCGGGCGATGGGATGAGCTGGGCTCGGAGCGCACCGAGGGAGCTGCTCCAGACGTGAGCCTTCAGAAATCACATTCCCAGCTGTGCCGCCGGAGACCGTGGAGCTTCTGCACTTTTCATCACGAAGCGCTTCGCCCTCCCCGTTCGTGCAGTGCGGCCGGGGCCACGGGGGGGGTGTAGGGGGGGGCAGCTCCTTGCGGGCAGCGTTGCTGCCGTGTTTGCAGCGTGAACGGGCAGGGGCCTGGCTCCAGGCACGCGCCGATGGTTGTGCCCTGTGGCCGAGGGGTCCTGAAGGGTCCTCTCCGTCCGTGGCCCCTGCCCGAGGAGTGGGAAGGGGGCTGGGGGAAGAGAGCTCGGCCGGGTGAGGGCAAAGCAGGGCAGCCTCGGGCCTCGCTCACGTCTCTCCCCCTCCTCCCTGTTCCCAAAGGCAGCGGGGATTCCTCTCTGGAGAAGGAATTCAGCTCGGCCATCGTGGGACCCGCGGTGAGCACGCCCAACAGCCAGCACTCCTCCCCGAGCCGCTCGCTCAGTGGTGAGTACGCCGGCCCCGCGGCGAGCAGCCCGTGGTGTCCCCAGGCCTGACATAATTCTGGCTGCCCTCTGGGACGGGTTTCTGCTCCTTCCCCGTCTGCTGACTGAATTCTCTCTCTCCTTTTTTTTTTTTTTTTTTTTCTAAAGTGAATGAAACTGGTTTTTAGATTATATTTAAGAGCCGCCCTCAGTAAAATAGGTCTGACTGCAGAGCTGTCCTGGTCTGTCCCTCGTTATTCCTGGCACGCTGCTGGGAAATGGGATGTTTCTCCGGGTGAGTCCAGCAGGGCTGACAGAGACCGAGCCTGGAGAGAGGCTATTTACATCGCAGCCTTCTCAGGGCACCAGTCAAGTTTCCATGGGCCCTACGTGCTGCTAAGTAGTGTTGACGCACGAGGAGAAGGAGCGCTGAGACGAGATAAGTTGGCGAGTCCCGCTTTGAATCGTGCTCTGTGTGCAGGAGCGAGGGCCGGGCGGCTCTGCCCGCTGACTCGCTAATGCCTGAAGACTGGCACTGCTTTGATCTCCCCTCTCTCCCAGCTCCTAGCAGATAATTGCGCCTTGCTTTTCCGTAGCAGAGGGGCTCCCCCGGGATTTATCCACGTGCGCTCCCAGCACTCGGTGGCTGGGACGGCTCGGTTCGGTCCCGGCGTTACAGGGTGGCTCCTTCTCAACCAGGATTAAAAAAAACACAACAAGTTTTCGGAAGGGGTAATGCGAATTACCTCTGTTCCCATTTTTTCCCCTTTTCTTGCTTACTATTTATTTTGCATTTGCCCTATAAAAACGCTTAGAAGCCCTGCGAAGAAATTAAATCTCAGATTTTCCGCAGAGAACCAGTTGAGAGAGAGATAAGGCAGCCTTTGCGCTCCATCAGAAGCAAAAGGAATCGAGCACGTGGACTGGCTGAAGGGACAATAACGAACCCTTCCCCTTTAACAGCAGGATGCTAGTGATGGTATTGCCTCTGATCTGACTTGACTTCACAGCTGGTTCATCCAGCAAGCATCGTGCCCCAGAGGAGCAAGAATATTATATAACCTGTGCTGCCAGCAGAGACTTCTCTCCAGCGAGACCGGACTCTGCATTGGTTCTGAAAGGAGAATTACAGAACAATAGTTGGCCTCCCTTCTTTGCCCAGGAAAAAAAATAAGTCCCTGGGGGAATGGGAAAAAAAAAAAAAAAAGAAAGAAAAAGAAAATCAAAGTGCAGCAAACGTCAACTCATCCAGGCAGCTCCTGCCACCGAGAGAGGAGCTTTTCACTTCGTGTTTGTGCACGGAGGCGTCCGTTTGCGCTGGGGCTCCTGGATGCTCCCAGCGGAGCGTGGTGGCACCGGCCAACAAAGAAAGAAAGAAAAAGTTCTGCTTCCCCCAGGAATGCTTCAGCTGCGGAGCCTCCTCCCGGGCTGCAGCCAGCGGTGGCTTTGGCCAGTGGCTCGGCAGCCGGCCTGCGAGCTCCTCTGGTTGCCAAAGCGGGGTGTCCGCATAGCTGCCGTTGCTGAGAGCCTCTCCGGGAAGGCAGCATTGTCTGCGGGCAGCAGGGGAAGGAGGGCAGCGTGTGCCAGAATTCCTGGGCTCCTCACCCTGCAATAAACTCCCCGCGGTCTCGGATGAATCACTTCCATGCTGCTGCTCCTCGCTAATCCCCGCTCACGAAGCCGTACCTAGCTCCGAGGAAGAGCCGGGGCCCCGCTGCGCCGGGGGCAGCGCGAAGGGGCCTTTCCCTCGCCGAGCGGGCCCCCGTTTGCCCCTGGGGGTGCAGGAGGGCTCCCCGAGACGGAGACGGCAACGGTGACGGTGCTGGCACGCCGGTGATCGCGCGGCCTCCCGGTAAGCAACGCCGAGCCCACCGGGAAGGATCATCCCCGCCTCAGCCGGTGCTGGAGTTGGTTCAGGGCCCCCTCCGCTTTTAAAGGTCAAACCCCGCGGCTGGTTCGGCGTCTGGGATCTCACCGAGGGTCTCCTGAACCCCCGCGGGGCTCTTGAACCTCCCGTGCACCCCGAGCCGCGGGTGCGAGCCCTCCGCCTCCCACAAAGAGCCGAACGAGCCCCAGGGGTCGCATCAGCATCGGATCTGGAAGCTTCTGGGATTTCTGTGCGGTTGTGCTCGGGCTGCTCGGTTCTCACGCCTGTCTCCACCAGGCAGCTTGGACGCTGTAATCTCCTTCCCTCCAGGCAGCAGAAGTCTCCTTTGTGTATATAAAGTTCAGCTTCCTCCAGCCCCCACAGTTCTCCTCTTAAGGGATTGGGAAGAGCCTCCTGCTTTAAATGGAAGAAATAAGAATCTGATATTTCAAGGGATTCTGTAAATATTTTGTTTAAGCCTGCGGGCTCAGTGCATTGCCATGTGGGTGACCTGGATTCGGTTTCTCTCCCGCACCACCGCCAGCCTCCGGCCTGCCGGGACCAGCGCGAGGGGAGCAGGTAGCGGCCGTCCTGGAGCCTCCCGGGGGATTCCCTCCCGCGCTCGGGGAGGGAGGAAACTTCCCGATCCGATCGGTTAAGGGCTCGCTCTCCGAGCAGGCAGCTCCTCGCCGAGGGCACGGAGGCTGAAACGCGGCGTCGGGACGGAGGAGAGGAGCTGTCCTCCCCTCCCTGCGCCCTGCCCGCGCAGAGCCGTCTCCGTCCAGCAGCCGTCCTCTCGGGGCTGGTTTGATTTGTGGCATTCCACCGCGCATCGGAGCGGCCGGGAATGTAGGTCACGGCTGGCGCAGCCACCCCGGTGCCGCAGGAGGAAGGAAAGGTAGCGGCAGGAGGGGCCCTGCTGCGGCACGGCGCCGTCCCCGGGCGCTCCTCGGGCTCCGGCCCGCAGCAAGCAGGCGCTGGACGCGGTTCTCCTGCGCCTCCCAGCACCATTCCCCTCGGCCTCGCTGCTGCTGCGGGGTCAGAAGTGCCCCGGGGTGGCTGCGTGGGGCCACCTCCAGCCCGTGGCCGTGGGACCTGTCCCCAGGGGCTGGCATCCCCCCTGCCCAGTTCCCTGCTTTGTCACCCGAGCGCTCGGGGGCTCCTGGTGGCCAAAGGCTCTGCAGGTGGCTGCGCGCTCGCTTGCCGCTGTCCTCTTTGTGTCTGTGTTCTCCATGTAAATCCCTGACGGATCCCAGGTCTTTAGGCAGAGGTGGGAGCTCGGAACTGGAGGTTTTCTCTAGTGAGAGGGGATTTGCCGGCTCTAGGAGACTCGTGCTGGGCGCTCTCTGCCAGTAAATGTTGAGTCTTTACTGCTTCAGTGTCAAAATCTGGTGTCTTCTGCTTCCTCTGAAGTACTCGAACAGCACAAGTGCTTTTTCTTTCACCCTCTGTCTTTGAATACAGGGAGCAAAATGGTTTTTTTTTTCTTTGGTTGGTTGCCTTACAGGGCAGGATGCAAAGCAGCAGTCCTTGGGGTGTGCAAACAAGTTGTCCAGCCCATCACCTCTCGTGATCTGTGCTGGATGTCTGTTCTTAAGTAGTCAACAGGACAAGAAGATGCGCGTTTGCCACAAACAAGGCACTTAGCGCATCAGCAGCATTTATTTTAGGAGTGAGCCTTGCCTAAACCGTGCTCCCAGCCTCTTAAACTCCGGTTTTCTCCCCTGCCCTGACCGCGCTTTGTCCTTTTCTGCCTGCCCGCAGCAAACTCGATCAAGGTGGAGATGTACAGCGATGAGGAAGCCAGCCGGCTGCTGTCACAGGACGAGCGGATGCTGGAGAAGGAGGACAGCGTGATCGTGGAGGACTCGCTCTCGGAGCCCCTGGGCTACTGCGACGGGACGGGCCAGGAGCCGCACTCCCCGGGCGGCATCCGGCTGCCCAACGGCAAGCTGAAATGCGACATCTGCGGCATGGTGTGCATCGGCCCCAACGTGCTGATGGTGCACAAGCGCAGCCACACCGGTGAGCGGCGGCCCCGAGGCCGGCTGAGCGGGGCGGGACGGGCTCCAGGGGGGCTGCGGGTTCCTGAAACCGGGTGGCGAGCGCGGCAAAAGGTTTTGGAGCAGGGTTTCAGGCGCTCCTCCCGTCCCGCAGGAGAGCGGCCGTTCCACTGCAACCAGTGCGGAGCCTCCTTCACCCAGAAGGGAAACCTCCTGCGCCACATCAAGCTGCACTCCGGCGAGAAGCCCTTCAAATGTCCCTTCTGCAACTACGCCTGCCGCCGGCGGGACGCGCTCACCGGCCACCTGCGGACGCACTCCGGTGGGTGACCGTGGATGGGAAGGGGAGGAAAAGGAGGAGGAGGAGGAGGAGGCAGGGGAGGAACACGCGGAGAGGGAGCAAAGCCAGGGGGCTGAGCCCAGCTCCCGACAGCCTGCGGGTTCCTGCGGCACGGCCGAGGGCAGTGCCCGGGCCTTGGGGAGGTGGCTGGGGGCTGCGCTGGCTGTTGGGGGTGCCTGGGAGGCTTCGTGCTGCTGCCTGCCAGCAGTTCCTGGGGGTTATTGCATCTCTTTCTTGTAAAGATAAATGTTTAATAGATTTTATTGAGTCAAGATAGGTCCCACCCTTGGGTGTGCCCTGCCCCAACGAAAACGAGCACCGAGGGGTTTTGTTTGCGCTGTTTTGACATTGTCCTTTAGAAATGTGACATTTGAGATGTGGTTTTCACCCTCGGGTTCCGTGATGTAACAGCTGGCTGGGGCCGCGGGTGGGAGTGAGGCGCGCCAGCGGCCCCCCTGCCTCGCGATCGCTTGCCCTTGATTTGCGCGCCCGCGCGCTTCTGCGGTGCTGCCGGGGCTTTTCGAGGTGCTGCCGGTGGCTTTGAACACCTGCGGCTCCCTCCCTGCATGGAAATGAGTTTCTCGTGCCCTTTCTTTAAGGGAAAACCGGCTGCTCCGAGGAGCCCGTGCTCATCGCAGCTTGCTCGGAGCCCCGCAGCCCGCTCCCCCCTTGCAGCCCCCATTTTTTTTAGGGTTCTGCCCCGTGCCCCTTTCTGCAGGATGCATACTGCGGGTTTTAGCTCCCGTCTGAATCTTCCCACTTCACGGCTTCTCCGGGGATTTATTTCCCCTCCCCTACACATCCGGGACCCTCCTGGAGGTGCAGGAGGGAAATTGGAGCAGTTTGGTCCCCGGAGCGCGGTGCCGGGGCTGGGAACGGGGCTGTTTGCTCTCACCTGGCGCCTGCGTGGGAGGAGGCTCGGGGCTTTTGTGGGAGCTTTCCGCCCGCTCTCTGTCGTCTCTGGACATCCCCTCTGCAAAGGGAAAAATCTGCTGCTGGGTGCAGAACCCTTTTGGTCCCGTGCCCAGTCCTGCAGCCCGCGCAGAACGCAGGTGGCGTTTTGATACCAAGGTGATCGGAAGAGTCTGTTCCTTCCCGGGGAAGGGCTGAGGTTAACGGCCTGGGGCTTTGCCAGTTTATGGGGACAAAAAGGCAGGGAAATCCTTTCCCTGGAATCCTTCCTTATCTTTAAGGGGAAAAAAAAAAAAAAAAAACGAAAGGCTCTGGTTGTTGGAGGCAAAAACCCTGCTGTCATCAACTCCGGAGAGCAAAGAGCGCGTGCGTCTCCTCCTGCCCTGCTCGGAGGCTGAGGAAAGCCAGACCCCGGTGACAGCTCCCCGCCACGCACGGGATGAGCCCGGGGCAGTCAGCTCCATCCCTCCTCCTCCTCGGGCAGCGCCGCGTGCTCCCTGGAGGAGCTGCCGGGCTTTGGGCATCGCCCGACGGGCTCTGCGGGGGTTTGGGGCAGGGGAGGGCGCTGGGAATCGCCCCCTCCGCTGGACGGGCTCCAGCTCTGGAGCTGGAAGGCTGCTGGTTCCTGGAGGGGTCCTGCTAGGAACGGGGTTGTTTTTGGGTACATTTAAACCCTCCCCGTCCAAGGGCAGCGAGCGTGGGCTGTGGGTTCAGGGACTGAGCCCTGCTGGGGCTGAGGTCTCACGGGGAGGACGCACGGGGCCAGCGAGACCGCGCTCGGAGCCCTGCCACGAGCTCGAGGGGCTTTCTGCCAGCTACCGAACGTGCCTCCAGGGACCCTGAGCCTGGCCTGGCACCAAGATTCGAGGCCGTTCCTGGGCCCCGTGGGATGAAATCCCCCCTAGGCTGTGCCTGCCCCCTGCCTACAGCCTCGCAGGGTGCCCAGGGCTGGGTGCTCAGCGCCCCTGGGGCAGGCTCGGGGCTGTGCCAGCCTCTCCCCGCTGCCAGGCACGGCAAGGGTGCCTGCGAGTCCTCGAGCCGAGAGAGACAGAAATGGGACAAGCCCTCGCAACATATCAAACAGCAATTAGTCTTTACTGGAGCTAATTATCGAGAAAACCTTCGCTTCATGTGGATTTCACAGGCAGAAGTCGAGCGGTTCCCCTGCCCGGGTGGAAGGCGGCGGGGCCGGCTCTCCCCTCCCTCTCCCCTCAGCGAGGCGTGCGCGTCTCCTGCCGTCCCCACGGGGGACACGGCGGCTTTCATCTCGCAAGATGTGCCGTCCAAAAAAGTGAGGTATTAAAATCCAGATCAAACGCGCCGCGTGGCTCCGAAATAGATCAGAGGCTGCGGCCCCCCCGGGACGGCTGAGCCGAGCCGCCCGTCCCCGGGGACCCCTCTGCCTTTCAGCCCTCTCCGCAGCCCCCAAGCGAGGATCCGCGTGCTGTGGGCAGGAGCGTGGGGCTGCCAGGGGGGCGTTGTGAGCGTGGGGTCGGGTGGTTTGGTTGGGGAGTAACGAGACCGAGACGTTTATTGAACCCTGACCGGTGAAAGCTGAGCGAGTGACGGGGGTTAATGAGAGGGTGGAATTTGGGGCCAGGGCTCCAGGATCTGGGGCGTGGGGTTTGAGGAATCAGCTCCTAGCGCAGGTTTGGGTGCTCTACTTGGAGCCTAGCGGTGTCCTTGCCTCCCCTGGGACTGGAGGAAACCAACACTGGGCGGCTCTGTGACACACGGGGAGGGCCGGCAGGGGAGGTTCGTGCTTGCCATCGGTTCCTCCGAGCCGATTTCCAACCTGGAGCTTCCGAGGGGAAACGTGCGACGGCTCCAGGACCTGCTGCAGCTCGGCCGGGCCGGCGGCACCACAACTCCCTCTGCAAATCCGGGTGCCGGAGCTGGGGCAACCGAGTGCTCCCCAGCAGCCCCAGAAGGTGCTTTTCAGAGGCAGTTAAAGGTTAAACCGCAAGCTGCAAAAAGGGCGAAAACAACCCTTAAAGCTGACGGGAACAGAAAGAGCCCGGTCTGGGCGGGCAGCACGGCTGGGGCACGGGGGCTGGAGGGCTCCGAGGTGGCCGTCACCGCGCTGCTGCTCGCCCCTGACAGCGGCTCCCGTCCCGTGGTGGGGAGGAAGAGGGGAGGAAGAGCACGGCATTGCTCCTGGCACCACGGGGGGCTCATCCTCGCCCCTTCCCCCAGCCACGCACTCGAGGATGCCTCCCCTCTCCGCGTAGGTGCTGCCCTAACGCGCTCAGTTCACAATCACCCAGCGAGCGGCACAAAACCCCGGTGTCAGCGTCCGCGTTTCCCCGTCCCCATGCAGACGGTGACCCCGAGTCGTGCTGGGAACGCGGGCGGCTTCCAGGGCTGCTGCCCCCCCCCTCGGGAGGTGCCGTGGGTTGTGGCTGCGAGCAGCCCCCTGCTGAAGGTGCTCAGCCCTCCGCGGAGCAGCGCTGGGCCCGCAGCACGTCGCGGCTGCTCTCCTTTGTCTGGCAGCCAGCAGCCGGCGGGGCTGCCCGCCGACCTTGGGTGGCAGCGGTGATTTGCAGTCAGAAGTGAGAAAATTGGGAGAGACGAGAATGAAAATGCGTCTGACAGGCAGCTTAGCACGGCTCCGCGCGGCAGCCAGGCGCTGGCCGAGCGCTCGGCGGCGGATGGAGGGCGAAGAAATGCTCGGAGGCGGTCAGGAGGCCGGGGGGGTTTCCAGCTGCCCTCCCGAAATGCCGCCTTTGCCCTCGGGGTTTTACCCGGCGCTGCGCAACGCGGACGGGCAGCTGCCAGAAACCCGCGGCCCTGATGTCTGCGGGAGCAGGGCGCAGATAAAAGGCAGGTCAGAGGTGGTTGGCTGCAGCTGAGCGGCGCGGTTCGGATTTATTGTCACAGCCTCCAGCCATCAGGAGCCGAGCGTCTTCCCCTGCTCTCTGGCAGGGAGCGTTGGAGGAGGCAGGTCCCGGCTCAGCCCCTCCGTTTTGGGGTGACCAGGAGGAAAGCTGGGCTCGGTGCCGGGAGGTGGGGGTCTCCTTCCTGGCTCTGGAAATTGTTTTGAGCGTGCTGGGGAGCCGGAGGCACCCGGGCCCGCGCTCTGCCGATGGCTTCGACAAAAACACTCGCGCTCGAGGTGCCAGAGCAGGGCGGGTTTGGTGCTGGTGCCTTTCTGCACGGCACAGCTAGATGGGGCGCTGCGCCGCCAGCTGCCCTGCCTGCAGCTCCCCTCGCCTCCGGACTCGCTTCCAGCCCTTCCCGGGCTCTGGGGTGAGGCGGCTGCGGCGGCTCAGTGGCGATTTCTCCGTTCTCATGGCCAGGCTCTCGCTTTCGTGTTTTGCAGTCTCCTCCCCCACAGTCGGCAAGCCCTACAAGTGCAACTACTGCGGCCGCAGCTACAAGCAGCAGAGCACGCTGGAGGAGCACAAGGAGCGGTGCCACAACTACCTGCAGAGTCTGAACACTGAACCGCAGTCGCTGGCCAGCCAGCAAGGTCGGTACCGCGGCGTCTGGCAGCCCCGGTGGGCGCTGGGGGTGGGAGACCACGGGGTGGGCTCGCCCCCAGCGCCGCGTCTGCCCACTGGGGCTCTGCTTCGGGCTCGTCCTTCCCAGCAGAAAAAGGGGAGGCGGAGAGCCCAGAGCCCTGGGGCCGTGCCCCCGTGGTCGTGGGATGAAAGGCGCTATGCGTGCGTTGGTCGGCACAAGTGCAAAGAGTCACCTCCCTTCTCCGTCCCCGTGCTGGCAGCCAGGCAGGGCCAAACCCCCTGAGCAGACCCGCTCCTGTCCCACGATTCTAGTGCGAGGACTCCCAAAATGTTTTCCCTAAATAACAAAGCACAATTACACCGCTGTGATGTAGGGAATTTACCCTCGCGGGCAGGCTCCGTGTGGCTTGGAAGCGCGTTCCTGCTCCTCCACGGAGCCCGGCGATGGCTTCCTGCGCGTGCTGCGCTGGCGCAGGACCAAACCCGGCGCATTTCTGGCTCCTCGCCCTGCTGGAGCCAGACCCGATCCCGCCAGAGCCGCCGGGACTGGGGCGAGGTGTGTGGGGTAGGGCCGCGCAGAGGCGCTGAGCAGATGAGCTGGAACTGACGGCACGGGAAGGGAAAAGCCGCCTCCGCCAGCGGCAAAACGGGGCCGGTCCCTCCAGCACGGCTTGGAGAGGCAGCAGCAGAGGCGGCGAGGGTGCTGCAGCCCCTTGCAGCCGGCTCCTCTCGCCCTGGCGCAGCCTCGAGCCTCCGGCCGGGGCCGCAGGGTGCCCGTTCCCCCTCGCCCCGTCCCCGCTTGCTGGCTGACCGGGTTCCCCTTGTCTTGCCAGGTGACGAGATGCGAGACCTGGAGATAGTGCCGGACTCCCTGCTTCACCCCTCGTCCGATCGGCCGACGTTTATTGACCGGCTGGCGAACAGCCTCACCAAACGGAAACGATCGACACCTCAGAAATTCGTGGGTAAGGGGCTGCCCCCTTGCTTCCCGGGCAGACAGGAGAGGAGGGCGAGGAGCAGCCCCCCCCGGGCTGCCGGAGCCCCCACGGGCTCAGACTCTGCACTTTTGGGCACGCCGCTGCCGCTCGCATAGCACCTTTCATCCCCGCGGGGCCGTCCCCGGGCTGGGAGGGACGGGACGGGACCAGGACTGGGACTGGGACCGGGACCGGGAGGGGGTCCCCGAGGCCGCCCCACCCGCTCTGACGCCGTCTCCTTCCCGCAGGGGAGAAGCAGATGCGTTTCGCCCTCTCCGACCTCCCCTTCGACGTGAACGCCGGCTTCGAGAAGGACGTGGAGATGGTCTCGGCCCACCACCCCCTGGACCCCTCCTACGGCAGCTCCCTGTCCCTGATGGGCGGCGAGCACCTGCGCCCGCTCCGGCTGCCCCCCACAAACTGCATCTCGGAGGTCACCCCCGTCATCAGCTCCGTCTACACCCAGGTCCAGCCCCTGCCGGGCCGCCTGGAGATGCCGGGGAGCCGGGAAGCCGCCGAGGGGCACGAGGACGCGGCGGACGGGGTGCAGGTGCTGTACCGGGGCCGGGAGCCGGGCGGCGTTTCGCCCAGCAACGGCTGCCAGGACTCGACGGACACCGAGAGCAACCACGAGGAGCGGACGTCGCAGCTGCCGGTGGGGAACTGCGCCAGCAGCCGCCAGAGCCCAGCCTACGCCAAAGAGGACCCCAAGGTGCCGGAGGGGCCCCCGGCCGCCCGCTCCACCCCCAGCTCAGCCAAAGACGCCCTGCGCGTGGTGAACGAGGACGGGGAGCAGATCAGAGCCTTCAAGTGCGAGCACTGCCGCATCCTCTTCCTCGACCACGTCATGTTCACCATCCACATGGGCTGCCACGGCTTCAGAGACCCTTTCGAATGCAACATCTGTGGCTACCACAGCCAGGACCGGTACGAGTTCTCCTCCCACATAGTGCGGGGCGAGCATAAAGTCGGCTAAACCCCAACCCCCCCACCCCAAAAACCCTGAGCCCCCCATCCCCAGCCCAACCCCACTCCTCCTCCTCTGTCTCTAGCTCAGCCCCTCCACCCTTAGGGCATGGAACTGTTGGTTTTTCTTTTATACTCCTTTGCACTGACTTTGGCTACAAAAATATTTAAAAAAAATAATCAATAACTAAAAAAAAAAAAAAAAAAAAAAAAAAAAACCAACCCCGGAGAGGGGGAGCTCTTAACAATTTGCCTTTTTATAAATGGAGTTATTTAAATATTAACGGACTTTTTTGTGCTTTCCTCCCCCCCTCCACCTCCCTCCGTTATTTATTGAGCTGCTTAGTTTCTCTTTTTATAACTTTTTCCACCCCCCCCAAAGTCTCGCTTGAATTTCTGAGACTGGTCCCCCCCCCACCCCCCCCAAACCCCCATCCCGGCCCCACTGGCCGGACCCAACCTCACTCTAGGTGCTAAAACCCCCCCCGGGCTGCCCCGCTCCGGCCGCTCCTGCCCTGGGGGTGCCGGGGGGGGCTCATCATGGGTTTAACACCGGGGCGGGGGCAAAACCAGGACCCCCTCCTCATGGCGGGGGCTTTTTCGGCCCCCCACCCCGAGCCCACCCCAGTCCTGGGGGGCTCGGGGTCGCTCCTGAGAAATGAAGGAAAACCAGAGCCCGGTGGGGCCGGGGCGAAGGCTCCGCTCTCCCTGCGGTTCCCTCCTCTTCCTCGCTGCCCCGGTGTCCCAGCTCGAGGGGCCCTGGGGGGGGGGGGGGGAGCTGCGTTTTTGGGGGGCGATAACCAAAAACGGCGAGCGGGGGGGTGCTGAGGCCCCCCCCAGGCACCGAGGTCGCTCAGCAGCAGCTCGCCAGACTGCTCTCCTGAGGTCGAAACCAAAGGCTGTTCTTTTTTCTACGAAAACAAACAAAACCACCTCACGAGTCGGCAACGCCTGTTGCCCCGATTTGTTCTTTTTTTTTTTTTTTTTGGCTTTTTTTTTCTTAATTTTTCTTTTTTTTCCTTCTCCTTTCTTGCTTTTCCGTCGGCGGTGTTCGTGTCCGGGACGGCGACGGCGGCACCACGGGGACAGCTCCGCGGAGCCCCCCCAGGGACGAAGCTTCCCCAGCTTCGGGGGGCAGCCGCCTTTGGGGGGCTTCAGGGGGCTCAGGGGGGGAGGCACTCGGTGTCTGCCACCCCCTCCCCGCCGTGCCCCCCGTCCCCAAAAGGGGCTTCAGAAGCAGAGCCGGGAGCTCGGCCCCCCCTGAGCTCGGCCTTTTTCTTTCCGTCTCTTTTTTCTTTTACCCGTCAGAGAGTCTAAGACAAATGTGGGACTTTTTTGTAAACCTGCAGGTCGCTTTCCTCGTGTAAATATCTATATTTTTTAATCAGATGTATGAAGAACAAAACGATGATGTGCAATACCCCCCCCCGCCCCCCCCCCCCCCCGGCTCCGGCCGCTCCTTCCCTTCCCGACGAGTTTTCAGTTGTAGAGCGTTCATGATGGATTTGCTGTCGTCTCGGTTTTCCCCTTTTTTGTGAGGTTAGACTCGCTTTTGGACAAAAAACACCCCCCCCCAGCCCCCCCCCCACCCCCCCGAGCTCTTACCGCAGCAGCTTTTTGTATCTGTAAGATATTGTAAGTACCTATTTGTGTAATGGAGATCTACTACTGTAAGTTTTGTACTGTACTGGCTGAAGGTCTGTTATAAATAAACCGGAGTAATTTAACGCCCCCCCCCCCCAGCCACATCGCTCCTGGGGGGCTGGGGGGGGTGCTGGGGCTGGGGGGCAGGACCAGGGGGTCCCTCTGGGGTCCCTGTGGGGTCCCTCAGGGGTCTGGGGGAGGGGGCAGGACCCTTGGGGCTTCTCCCCCACAAAGGGGGGGCTTAGGGGGGTGGCCCCCCCCAGGCTGGGGGCTTTTAGGGGGGTGGGGGCTTTTAGGGGGGTGTTTTAGGGGGGTGGCTCCCCCAGGCTGGGGGCTTGTAGGGGGTCAAGGGACCCACCAGGATGGGGGCTTAGAGGGTCGAGGGACCCCCAGGTTTGGGGGTTGGGGGGCTCAGTGCAGGGCTCTGTGGGGGGCGCAGGGCTCCATGGGGGGGGGAGCCCCGAGGGTCCTGTGCCCCCCCCCCGCAGGAATGGGGGCTCCCTGGGTGTGGGGGGGGTCGGGGGTCTCAGTGCAGGGGGCTGGGGATTGAGGGGTCCCTGGGGAGGGGGGTGCAGGACCCTTGGGGTTCCCCCCCCGAATTGGGGCTCAGGGGGGTGCCCCCCCCCGGCGTGGGGGCTCGGGGTCAGGGGGGGACCCCCAGGTTTTGGGGGGGGGCTCAGGGATGTGGGGGACCCCCAGGGTTTTGGGGGGTTGGGGGGGGACTCGGGGCTCCCCCTGCCCACCTGGGGGGGGGTTGGGGGCTCCTGGGCCCCCCCTCGGGGGCTGGGGGTAGGCGCAGGACACGTGACCCCCCCCCCGGAACCTCCCCCCCCGCCTTCCGCTGCCCCAGGACTACATTTCCCAGCGTGCCCCGCGCCGCGACCGCGCTCTGACCACGCGGCGCGCGCGGAGCCTCCGCACTTCCCACGCACCGCGCGAACCCTTCCGCCGCGCCCAGGACAAAAAGTAGTCCCGGCCCCTCCCCCGCCTCCCCGCCGCACCGGAGCCTCGGAACCCCCCGGAACCCCCCGGAGCCCCCCCAGCCCTGCCCACAGGGCCGAGCCGAGGGGCCGAGAGGGGTTCGGAGGGGTCGGGCCGGGCGCGGGGCCGTGACGGGGCTTCTTCCGGGCGGAGGGATCCGTATATAAGCGCGGCGGCGCGGCGGCCGGGCCCTCTTTCGCCGCCCCGGCAGCGAGATGGTGAGGGCGGCGCGGCCGGGGGGGGCCGGGGGGCTCCGGGGGGGCTCTGGGGGGTAAGGGGGGAGGTTGGGGGGCGCGGGGGGTCGTGGGGTGATGGGGGGCAACACGGGGGTTGGGGGGGCTCCATGGGGTGAGGGGTGCAGCGGGGGGGCGGGGGTGTTTGGGGGTGTTTGGGGGCGGGGGGGGTCCATGGGGGGTGGGGGGGATCTGGGGCAGGGGTCGATGAGGGGGGGTATCCCTATGGGGTTATGGGGTTATGGGGTGTGGGGGGTCCATGAAGGGTGGGGGGGATGTGTGGGGGGTGGTCTTACGGGGCAGGAGGGGTTGGGGGGGCTTCGTGTGGGGCTGGGGGGGGTCCCTGTGGGGTGGGGGGGGGCCTGTGGGGTAGGAAGGGTTCTGGGATTGGGGGGCTCCCGGTGGGGTGGGGGGGGGTTGTATGGGTTAGGGGGGATGTGGGGTCAGGGGTCCCTGTGGGGCTGGGGGAAATACGGGGTTGGGGGGCAGAACGGGGCTGTGGGGGCACCACTGGGGTGTGGGGGGGACTCAGGGGGTCGCGGGCTCCGAGCTCCATCCCCTCCCCTGCCCTCGCAGACCAAGAAGAGGAGGAACAACGGCCGGGCCAAGAAGGGCCGCGGCCATGTCCAGCCCATCCGGTGCACCAACTGCGCCCGCTGCGTCCCCAAGGACAAGGCCATCAAGAAGTTTGTCATCAGGAACATCGTCGAGGCCGCGGCGGTCAGGGACATCTCGGAGGCCAGCGTCTTCGACTGTAAGGGCAGCGGGACGGGCGCTGGGGGGGTGTCCCTGTGCCGTGGTTCCCGCCTCCCCCCAGTAACGGACCCGACCCCGGTCCCAGCGGGCGGCTGCGGTGCCAGCATCCAGGCACTGTCAGCACCTGCAGGTTCTGTGTCCCCCCCCTCATCTCAGCCCCACAACTGCCTCTCGTCTTCTGCACGGGGCTGGGATGGGGTCATAAAATAGAACAGAACGGCCTGGATTGGAAAGAGCCTCAAAACACCCAGCTGCAGCCCCCTGCCACAGGCAGCGATGCCACCCGCGAGGTCAGGGTGCTCAGGGCCTCACCCAGCCTGGTCCTGAGCCCCTCCGGGGTTGGGGCATCCCCAGCATCTCTGGGCAGCCCCTTCCAGCGCCCCACTGCCCTCTGAGGGGAGAATTTCCTCCTGTCCTGATCTAATTCTCCCCTCCTTTGGTTTAAAGCCATTCCCCTTCGCCCTGTCACTATCTGATTGAGCACCAAGTCGCCCCCTAGCTTTTTATAAGTCCCTCGGCCCCCCTTGGGCATTTTCTGGGGGGGAGCGGAGCTGGGGCTGACCCCCTGTCGTCCCCCCCCCAGCCTACGTCCTGCCCAAGCTGTACGTGAAGCTGCATTACTGCGTCAGCTGCGCCATCCACAGCAAGGTGGTGAGGAACCGCTCGCGGGAGGCGCGCAAGGACCGGACCCCCCCGCCCCGCTTCAGGCCGGCGGTACGTATCGGGGGGCGTATTGGGGGGCGTCGGGAGGGTGGCCCCAAACGGGGGGGGGGGGTTGGGGAACGCCCCCCCTGCATCTCGCTGACGCTCCCTTTTCTCTTGCAGGGCGCAGCCCCGCGACCTCCCCCCAAGCCCATGTAAGGAGACTGCAGCTGGAAACGTCCCCAGGCTGAAAATGTCCCCGAGTGCAGCCTGAATAAAGGACTTGACTCCAAACCTGGCTCTGTGCCTGTTGGGCCGGGGGGGGCGGAGGGCGGGGCCGCGAGTCGCTCTGGGGTCAGCACGGGTGTTTGGGGGGGATCCACGGGGTGTTCTGGGGGGGCTCCCACACCCTTCGTTATGAGGGGGGGGGGGTCTTGGTTTTGCTCCAGAGACGTGCAGAGGGTGGGGCGCTGCAGAGTGCCCCTGGTAGTGAGTCCGGGGGGGCGGTGCTGGTCCCCCCCCCCAGTCCTGCAGGTGGCTGGGGAGGTGTTGGGGTGTGCGTTGGGTGGGGGGGGAACGTCCCCAGTAGCCCCTGCCCGTGTGGGGCTGCTCGGGGAGGGAGGGGGCCGCGTCCTCCCCAGGGGCTTCTCCCTGGGTCCAGCCCGGGGGGTGGCAGCGCCCCGACCCCCAGCAGGGCCGGGCTTTGCCGTGGGGGGGCTGCAGCCGGACCAGCCCCTGCCGGAGGAGACCCGGGGGGACCGAGCGGGGTCTGGGGGCTACGGCAGAGCCGAGCAGCCCCTGCTCCCCCCACCCACGGGTCCTGGGGGTGTCTCCGCCGCTCCGGGCCGGGCTGTCCCGGGGGTGGGTGCCCCGCCGCCCCCGCCCCGCCCCGGCTCCGCCCCGCCCGGTCCCGGTCCCTGCCCCGGCCCCGGCCCGCCCCGGCGGCCCCGCGCCAGGTGCATTCCCCCCGCCGCGCCCGGGCACGCCGCAGCCCGCCGGGCCCCGCTCCGCCGCTCCGCCGAGAGGCGCCGAGGATGGCCCGGCCCCGGCCCCGGGCGCCGCCGCCGCCGCTGCTTCTGCTGCTGCTGCTGCTGCTCCGCGCCCCGGCACCGGGCATCGGGCAAGCAGGTGGGCACCGGGCACCGGGAGCGCTCGGGGGCACCGGGCAGCTTGGGGACACCGGGGCGCACGCGAGGAGCGGGGAGCTGGGGGGGACCGGGGCGTGCGGAGGGAGCGGGAGCTCGGGGAGCCGGGGCCGGGGAGGGCACCGGGAGCGCTCGGGGGCACCGGGGTGCGGTGGAACCGGGAGCGCCCGGGAGGGTCCCGGCAGCGGCGGGGACGGGGCTGGTTCGCGCTACCGGGTGCTGGGGGGGTCCCGGAGCAAACGGGGGGGAAAGCGGACCCGGGGGTGCAGCCGGTGCCGGCAGCCCCCCGCGCCCCCTTCCCCGGGACCCCCGCCCCGTGCCCGCTGCCCCGACCCGGGGGCAGCCTCGGCCCCGCTGTGTGCGCCCAGGGGGGCTCCGGTCCCGGCACAACGCGCGGGGCTCTCCCCGTGCCCCCGTCCCGTCCCTCCCGGCACCGAGCCCCCCCCGCGGTGCAGGCACCTGCGCCCCCCGCAGCTGCCGGGGCTATTTCGGGCCGTGCCGGGATCCGGCCCGGGGTGGGGGCGGCACAGCCGGAGCCCCCCAGGACCCCCGGCCCCGCCGCTGCGGGAGGGTTGGGGCGCAGCTCCCGGAAGGATCGGGCCGCCCGGGAGTTGTTTTTCAACCCCAAAAGGAAAACACCGAGGGCAGGACGCGAAGGTGGGGCCGGGCGCGGCGGTGGCGAACGTGCGAGGTGTGCGCGGCGCCCGCGGCCCCGTGGCGGCACCGGCACCGGCACCGGCCATGTGCCACCGGCCCTGCCCCGGGCTGCTCCCGCACGACGGCCGGGGGGCACTGCGGGACCGGGGGGCACTGCAGGACCGGGCTCGCACCGGCACCAGGTGCCGGCTCCCCGGGGTGCCGCGGGCGGCTCCCGCTCGGGGACCCCCCGGTGCCGGTCCCGGGATGAGCAGCGCCGGCTCCGCGCCCCCCTCCGACCCCACCCGCAGCCCCCCGGTCCCGTCTCAGAGCCCGGCTTTGTTCGGAGCCGGGATCCGGCCCCCCGGCAGCGGCCGCCCCCGCGCACACAGCCCCCTTTGTGCCGCCCGCGGGACCGGGGGCAGGAGGTCGGGGTCCCCGGTCCCTTCCCCGCCTCCCCCAGCCCCCACCGGCGGGGCCGGGCCCCGGTGCTATTCCTGGCGGGGGGCCGGGGGGGCCGCGGAGGCACGCGGGCAGATAGCAGCGGCGTGCCGGAGCTGCCGGCGGGGGCCGCGCTGATAACGCCCGGCGGGGCCGGCGCCAGCCCCCTCCCCGCCGCGGGCAGGTGCACGCAGGGGTCCCGGCCCGGGGGGGGCCCGTCCTGGGTCACCCCCCCCACCCCCTCAGCAC